TTTCTGCTGCAACAGAAAACCTTTTACTTTGAAAGAGGCTCTCATGTGGCGGGAAAATTCCATCGTGCCGAGGCACCAAAATCACTGGGTTGTGACAGCAGCCACAGTGGTCCAATAAATTATGCAAGAGGCTATAGGATGATTTTTTTTTTAATTAGACCAACTGTGTAGTAGAGTTAGGCAAGTTTTCAAATGCAAGGCATTCTTCATTAGGTCTGACCAGAAGAGTTAGGCACAGTATGGTGGATTTTCCATTGTACATAGTGGATTTCAATATCTTCCATGTTATGGTAGTGTAGTGTATGGTAGACAACATCACTCTTACACTACACATATCAAAGAGTACATCTAAAAATGTCAGACAGCTATCTGTCTTGGGGAAGGAAGAAGGCAGGGTAGATACATACTTGCGTGGACTAACTAAATCAGATGTATAGCATAAGCTTTCCTAAGAAGAGGGATTACACAATCACATGAAGTCAGGAAGAAGGCAAGGAAGATTCACACCTTTATAGACTAACTAAATCAGAGATGTAGAGCATAAATTTTCATCTATCAAGATAAATACTCACCTAGACATATAGAATGAGAAATGAGAGATGGGGAGATAATGATAAGGGACTTGAGAGAAACCTTTCAGGGAAAAGAGATATCTAGGAACTCTGGTGGGAAGGGGAAGATGCAGATCCCAGCCAGGAAGGCTGGTGATCTATCTGGAACAACTGGCAAGATTGCTAGGTGTTGCAAACACAGACAGAATGATCTAGGAAGCTGTTTTAAGCTACAGCAGTGGTTTTCAATCTGTGGTCAGACGACTCCTGGGAGTCTGCAGACTACATCTAAAGGGTCCACAAAAGATGATTATGATCAATCAAAAGTATGTGAATACCCATGCTTACCATTCTAAGGGGTCTGCACTTCCATTCAAAATTTCCAAAGGGGTCCACACCTCCATTTAAAATTTTGTAGGGGTCTGCAAATCAAAAAAAGCTGAAAGCCACTGAGATAGAGGATAGCAGTAAGATATTTTGTTTTGCATATTTGTCTCCAAAATCAAGTTTTGCTTTTCCTACATGTTCTTTTTATTCTATGTGATAAACCTCATTATTGTTTCATAGCTTATGAACTGTCCTGTGATAAGAGTGATTTCAGGGCAACTGGCAACCACGGGCATTCCATTCTCATGAGAACAGCAGACCTCACTCTGTATGCTGGTGAAACTGAGATTTGCTACAGGTGAAGAGTCACCATAGGACCAAAACCCAGTCAGAGTCCTGAAGACAATCAGCAGGACAGTTGAGAGAAGGCTGGGAGCTCTGGGATCACCCCCAAGGGTTGTCACAGGTGGTTTAGATGAGATGATCCCTCCTCAAGCAGTGGGTTGGACTGGATGACCTCCTGAGGTCCTTTCCAGCCCTATTTTCCTATGATTCTGTGAATGGAAGTGAGCCTCCATCCTCCAGATATACACTAGTACATAGCTCTCTCATCTCTGGGATGGGGGAAAGAAAAAGATTCTTAGAGGGGTTGGGAAGAGAGAATTCAGTTGCAGTCTCTAGTCACATTAGGTGCAAGGTGGCCTTGGCAAACTGGCCAGTCTGGCCTGTAGTATATAGGCAATTGTCAATTCACTGTATCATGGTGTATGCATAAGAGGTCTAGTCAGGTGCCTGACAAATCTACTTATGGCTGACAAGCCCAATTCAAGAGTGACATGGCTTTTTACAAGTTTCCCAGGTCTATGTGAAGTCTGAATAGAAATCCAGGTTTACAGCACATGGCTTCCTTCTTTCTCCCTGCCCTTCCATCCTCTGGATCAAAGCTGCTTCATGTAGAGTTGCACCCAGTGCCAGATGTTCCCTCCAGATTAGACTGAATTCTGTGCATTCCTCCTAGCTTTCTACACTGATGTTGAATGACTTCCTATACATTTTTGCATACATTGTGGTACTGCCATAGAGGACAACCCTGCTTTCTAGAGCCATCTCAAATTTCACTGTACAAAATATTTGTGGGGATATGGTCTCCTCCATTTCTCCTCACATGGCTGAGCCATTGCAACCTCCTCTAAGTGTGTCAGTCCTACACACTCCAGCACCTCTATGTTTGGCATTTTGTCTTCCCACTTTATTTTCAGGATCTTGCAAAGGCATTTCATGTGGAAGCTGTTCAGTCTCTTGATGTGCCTAACCTATGTAGTCCAAACTTCCGAACCATAAAGTAGGGATGACAGCACACAAGTCTCATAGATTCACATGTTCACCTGAGTTGATAGTTTGCTGTTACTCCATGCACATTTCTGTAATAGCCCACAATTCTTAGCTGCATTTTCCAATTCTGTTAGTTAGTTCAGTCTGAAGTAGCAAAATCTGTTGATGATGCCAAAAGATTTACCCTCCAGACCCTCCAATAGCATGTATTGTTCCTAGATCCTATGCCTTCTTTGTACCTGTTCTAATTTAAAATTATTCTTTTTTAAATATCGGTGACAGAAACTTCCCACATTTGTCAGGAGTCTGTCTGCTTCCTACCCAGATTAGCCTCATCTGGCCCTGATTGCCTGGATGAGACTGGCTGCCAGCTGCTGGCTGCCTGAGTGCCCTCGGCTGGACCCTGTTAGCAAGTACTTGGCATGACTGCTGCATATAAGCAGCAGCTCTTGCAGTACCCCGCAAGTTTGCATCAAGCCAGGCTCCCCTCTGTGTAGCCCCAGTGCTCCTGGTTCCATGACTCCATGGCTTTGGTTTTCTCTGTCTTGCTCCTGCTTGAACATTTTTGCAATCTGTATTCCATCTTGTTCTGCCAGCTTCCTTTGCCTTGACCCCTCATCTCTGAACTCCAGGTTTGTGACTGCTGTAGCACTGTCCGCAAGCCCCCCTAGGTTGAACCCATAACAACAATATTCTACATGGGATCTTAAAAACTCTTTGTACCGTGGCACTGATACAAGGGTGACCATATTTCCCTAGTTTCAAAATGGGACATCTTGCTGTCTGGCACACCCAACTACCTCTGAACTCCAGGCTCTGGGACAATGGGGAGGGGGGGCAGAGCATCAGAGACTGGGGGGAAGGTAATGAATGGTGTGTGTAAAAGAGTTTGGTTTAAATACCATTCCCAGGTATCCTGCTAAAATGGGACAAAAGCTTTGATTTGACCAAACTAATGGGATACCTAGGTCAGGCATTTAAAATGTTATTATCCTGGTGAAAATGGGAAGTATGGAAAAATGGGAACAATAGGGCTCCCAGTCTCTACTGAAAATATCCTGTGCCTAAAATACCCTAGAATTGCATTAAACCTTTTTCAACATAATTGTAGTTCCTAGTCATCGTAAAATTGGCCAGTTCAAAAATATTCTTTTCTTCCATCACTCCTGTTCTAGGAACCCCATCTTATAGAGAAAGTTCGTGGAATTATTCCAGGACAAAGACTTCTTCCTGCCCCAGATCATGGAGACACTCTTCAGAGAGAACCACAGGCCAGTGGAATGATGGTAGCTTCTTCTGGTCCTGCTCACTGCAGGTGAGAATAGCTGAGTACCAGCAGATCCACTGATCCTGCCCATGCCCAACTTGCTTCATGGTCTTCTGTGGGGACCCTGAATGGAGTAGGGCTGTGCACTGAGCAACCAGTACATATCTTTGTGCAACCCCTACATCTAACCTCATGCTGTGTACAACAGAACTAATGAAGTTTCATTGGCAAACAGATCTCTGTGGTGACAACTTAGTCAGCTAGATTTGGTCTCCAAAAGATCTGTAGCAGGTACTTGCTGCTGACCTTCTTAAATGTCATCTTTGCATCCCATGTTCCTCATATAGTAGCCATTAGTTTACCTGAGAAATTCCCTTTCAGTATGTTTTATAATCTCTTCTATATGTATTGAGATAATTTACCAAACTATGTGCAAAGAATCCTCATAATTTTTTATGTACAATTATCATTAAATCACTAAAATGAATTTATTCACTCGGAGGCAATAAGGAAGCTGGTTCAGAATAGGAAGCCAGAAACCTTAAGTAAAAGACACAAAGGATGATTGAGCATCTAAGAATGGCCAGGAAACTCCTTTAATGCTCTAAAGACTAGCTTTGATATCCAAGTTGACAGGTTAACATAGTATAGCATTTCAGTGGAAACCTGAATTCAACAGCCATCTTCAGCCACTGATCTTCATTCTGTTACTGGGTTACTTTATCCTGTGTTATGTTAAGTTTCTTCAACATAACAAAGATAGGAGGAAGAATCACAATGATTACATTTTTGCTTGACTGAATGGAGATACAATAATGAGTACCTTGGCTGAATGGAGAAACAATAATGAGACATGATTTTTTTAAAGAAAGATATCTGGATATTATCATCGCTTCTCAAACACCTATAAAGTAAAATAACCAGAATAAAAAATTCATATATTGAAGAAAGAGAGAAGGCATGACCAAACATGCTACACTCTCTTGCATACCTATGGAAACATTAGCAAAATTTAGTCAGTCTTCCCTACAGTTAAGGACAGGACAAAGAGCAAGAAAAAGAACTGTGCGCTAAGCACTAATTTGAGAAGTCTCATGTGAGATTATGTTTAAGAAAGGATCCAAACATATTTGTCACGCATTGCATAAATGTTAAACTTTATCTGGCTCAGATTATCCACACCTATAAATTATGCCCATTTTAGTGCACACTGTAAATGTGTATTTTGGATTACTGATAATGGGAATATTGTTTATTCTCTCCTTCTGTAACAGTGACTGTCATTACATTTTTCACTCTGTAGGAAAGAGGACGATTGTCATAGTCTAACAGTTTATATAAGCCTGAACCTGAGTCAGTCAAATCTTTGCATATTTAATCTACAACAGCAGTTTCTAGATTGATATAAGAAGATGTAGTTATATGATATATGTACAGGACTATATAAAACAGCCAACAGATAGGATAATTGCCAGTACATTCTGTCTCTGGTCATATATAGTTGCTCCACCAGACAGACCCTTTCTCTGTCTCTACCTGTCTTCAGTACATAATTGGATTAAAATTTCACCCACCTGTGTATCAGGACAATGTGCATATCTAACTTGACAAATTTATACACCAAAAAAAAAAATCTTCCTAATTAGATGATAGTGCAGCTATTTAAAACTTAACAAATAATCCCCTAAATGTACTAACCCCCCCCCATATTTTGACATCTCCTTTCAAAACATACAATTTTAAATCCTACCATTTTTTGAACATGTGCTTGGCCAAACAGACAAGTAAAAAAAAAAAAGATGATATATTCTTTTTAATGCACAAGCCTCCATTACAGTCAATTGCAGAAAATACAGAAGGCTACGAATAGTAATTTTCACCAACAGCTTTGTTCTGAGAAAAAATGCTGGACATCAACAATCTGGAATCTGTGGTTCACTTTCAGTTCTCTGGTAGTTTCTACGTTAATTTTTTCTCTCAAGGAAACCTTTCAAAAATATTTTATAACTCCTGTAAGGAATATCATTGCTACTGTAATAACTTGACCGGAGGAATGGTGTCATATTTGTCTCCTGGATGTTACTATGTAGAGTAGTGGCACAGAATGTCACCTCTTTGTTCATGTGTTTTTTTGGTAATGGGGGAGGTAAGCATGTCTATCCTGAGCCTAGCCTGCAAACTGGTTTCAAGTCATGGAATGAAAAGGGTACCATATTCCAGTACATGAAATTGTTACATATTGAACACAATTAAGAAATTTGGAACTGCATGAATATATAACGTACACATTTCTTTACAGATGCATTTTTCTCCAGACAGGCTGGTGCCTGCTTTAATTTGGAAGCTATCCATTTTCATACAAAGTTAACCAAGAGTGACAGGAAATCAGACGCCTACATTATTTATCTTTTCTGAACTTTTTTTTTTTTAAACCTCTTAATTGCTTTCCTAGGAAGCTATTTTGTGGTACCATAGGAACAGATCTTCCATATAATGAAAGGCTAAGGAAATTACAACTTCAAGATGTGCAAGGTGAAGAAAGTGTTTGTGTTGCATGCACATATTTGGGTGATATGTGTTTTCATTTATAGTAATTGAATGTGTGACAACAGGATCTAAATGAAGTGCCTCTGACCCTGCCAAATGCATTATCAATGATTACTGGAGTTCTGACCTTTTTAACCCAATCTATCAAACAGTGCACATAGGTCATTTCTTTGGCTGAAGTTAACAGTGGACTGTATGGCCCTTTGTATTTTCCTTTGGTTCTTTCACTCCTCAATCATAAATGACCTTAAATGCCCCGTATGTTCAGTAACTGTATTTTCATGTCACTCTAATGAATTAAAGGCTGGGGAAAGAAACTACAGATCTGAACAGGGAACATTTTTCATTGACAATTAAAAAAAACTTGAATTGTCTTTACATGTTGATCTTGCACAGACTATGCTGCATATGACTATGCAGCAAAGAGTGTGAATTAATAGAGATTTTCATTATAATTATTGAGTCAATGGAAACTGATCCAGCACAAGAACACTCCTGTATCAGACAAGTTACTTTGACCTAGTATTGGGTAGAAAGGGAAGTACATATCTAAGTGCTTGTCCGCCAAGATGTACATAGCTCAAACCCACGCTCTCAGATATGCCCTTCTGCCACCCACATCCTACCCGCTTTTTTTGAAGCTTGCATTCCTATGAAGTCAGACAACAGAAGCTCGAGTCCCCTGCTCACTGCTTGTGTTTAAAATGTTTCCATAAGCAGCCTTAACTTACATTTGCAATGGACTACAGCACAATGAGTTATGGTTCTTACAGCGCAGCCTGTGAAGATGAGCAAGATCCAGGACCCAGTGCTAAATTCTCAAACAGTCAAATACTTTTGCAACACTTAAAAACCCTTACTGCCAAAAATAAAGCAATTTAATAAAGCTTTTTAGCATGTATCTCACTGGCTACTTGTATTTTCAAATGTTTTCTTTTTTTTCCTTTTTCCTTTGTCTCTGTTAGCATTCATTGTTTCATTGTTTTGGTTACATCCAGCTATCATTATATTAACCATCACAAATAGATTATAAAAGCTACCAATTTTTTAAATTAAAAAATTCCTAGAAATGGAGGAACTTAATTCCTTTGTCAATAATGTTATTAACATAATATCTCTTATATTATGCAGAACTAAGCACTCCATGACAACAACTGAATTACATTTATGTACTTGGTGTTACCTCTATAGCTAATTCACAAACTAAAAGGAGCCAGTTGATTTGGGGGATAAAGGGTGGAAAGCACTTATTCCTCAAAATGAACAGAATTCTAACACGCATCAAGCTTTCTTTTTCATTCTAACTTTTCCAACTGATATCCCTAGGGAAGATCAATTTTATTGAAGGGTGGAGTTGAGTAAGAGAGGCCCTTGTTGAAATGTCCAAAATACATATCCTTCATTAACTACAAAAACAAGCTTGGGAAAAACTGGCAAAAAGACAGGTGCATAAGTTAAGAAATTCCCTTGGCAGTTGTAACTTATGCCCAGTTACATGAGATATTTCTACAGCAATTATACTACAAGTCAAGATTAATGAGGAACAACAAGTAATTCACCATAGCAACAAAAGTGTAGTACAAACCATATGGAAAGCAACACACTCAGAAAGTTTAGAATCAAAGCAACATAATTCTTGCTTTCAAGGCTTTTAAGCATGTTTATGCAATATTTCTTACTATGGAAAAAGTTTTTGTCCTTTAATGCTAAACGAAAATTAAATTGTTTTGTTGGGATTAAAATAGTAAAAACTAGAGGGTGCAAAAAAACAAACAAAAAACAACAACAATACCACCACAAAACAAAACCAAAAACCAACTAAAAACTTATTAAAAAAAGCCTCAGTCCTACAAAAACTGACAGACATGAATAATTTTACGCACTAGTTCCACTGAGGTCAATGAAGCTGCTCATTTGTATAAAGTTACTGTGTGTTGCACTGTCAACAATCCAAAAGGAGGAATTTTGTTAAAAAAAACTGAGCTTTCTAAAGTATACAATTATTGCCCAGGTTTAGCACCTTCAATACTTATAGTACTTTCAGACTCTTAATATTGCTCTTGTATTCTACACATTTTCTCCTCTGGAAAACTAACCTACTGCATTCTCCTAACTCAAACGTGAAGTAAGCAAACCCATTTGATGTTAAATAAACTTGTTAGTAGTTTGGTACTTCGAACAATTTTTGTTTATTTGTTGCTAGTTAATTCTTGTAGAATGAACAGATCAGACCATCTGAGTGAAACAACAGACCCCTCTGTCTCAGTGCTATTATGTAGGATCCCTTCCAATTTCATGGCTGAAATACAGTGTTTCCAAAGAAAGCATTAGCACTGACCATGTTGATGTTCCTCATTTACTATGCACAGAAGTTTCTATTGTTAACTGAGATCCAGCCAAATGTTTTACACATAGACTTGTGATACTGTTTGCTATATATTGCCTGCATTAATGATCTCCTTAAAAGAATGTGCATCTGAACAAATAACTGATTCTGGTTCCAGTTTTGCAGGGGGTCTCAGGACAGCCATTGTTGTTTAGTCCATACCAGGGTATTTGAATAATATTGATTGGGAAAAAAAAAAAAAAAGAGAGGGGGTAAAAATGCCATCAACACCAAAAATGCAACACTGCAGACTGCTGGCTAACACATACTTATGGGACAAAGAATTGCTTAAATAGTGCCAATACAGAAAGTTCCTTACACAGGCAAATTTCCACTGATTTCTATCAGAGTTTGCCTGAGTGAGGACTGAGCATGAATAGAAAGACATCACTATTTACTTTGCTGTGCATCACTTTTTTGCTGAAGTAAATGTAAGCCTTGGATATGGGAACAAAAAAAATCTATGTTCATGTAGTTAGCAAACCAAAAATTGTGCTTTATATTATGAGATAAGTTAGCATTTCTTATTCTTGAATATCATCTGTGTAGCTTTTTCCTTCGCCCTAGTTAATGAAGTGGAACAACCAGAGGTCAATAGATATTTGAAATGTATGTCCCCCCAGCATAACAAATAAAAACAGCATACTACCTAAAGTGTAATATTTTAAAAACAACTCAAACACAAAAGGGTTACTTGCCATCTTAACTTCTATGTTGCTATTTCTCACAAAACAAAATGACAGAAATGAGAGGCACCTGCTTTCTTGCCTTTCCCCTCTATATTATCATGTCACATTTCCCTGCATTTTTGCTCACTACATTGGGTCTTTTACCTACCATAACATAATTCTTAAGTAGATCAAATGTGAAATAGCAGCACTTGAAGTGACAAGCTATCATTTATGCAAAGCAATATGATAATTTTGGAAGGACCAGGAGGCCGGGTATGGATTCTGATTAACACTGATGAA